ATTGTCAAACCTGGGGGTGCCAATTGCTTTCTTCAAGTTGGCCATGAACCATGCCCAATTGGCATTTGTTTCCTTTCCAAAAAAATCCATATGTCCACTTGTGTCCATCAATTGCGGTTGTTGCAGCTAATTGCCCATTATACTTTCCTGTCAAGTGAGTAGAATCAACACCAAGATACGGTCTGCACCCATACAGAAAGCCATCAACACATGCTTTGATGCACACAAACATCCTTGGGAAATGCATTTGGCCTTTGATCTTCTTGCAATCAATCTCAACAATGCTTCCTGGACAAGTTTCTTCTAGTGCAGCTTTGAATCTCCACAACATTGTGAAGCTCTTCTCCCAAGTACCATGAATAGCATCCATTGTTGACTTCTTTCCGAACCACACTTTAAAATAGTACAACTCAATGTTGTAATGTTTCTCTAATATTTTTTGCAGCTTCTTTGCACTAAGAGTGGGATCCTCTTTAATAATATCTTTCACTCTTTGAGATATCCAAGCCGTGGAAGTCTAATGTCCCTTCATCCTTGCTGAACTCGAACAAGTGTGATCATCCAATTTAGAGAGTTTGACCACCCGCAAAGTTGAAAATAATAAGAGTCACCATCCAAGTTGCAAAATTAAAAAATAATAGAATCTACAATGAATAAGCTATAAAGAAAGAATAACAACCATAAATGTGTTGCCACCATGAAGCTTCTTTGCAAAAACTCTCCAATCACAAGTTTGATATGCACACTTGGCCCTATACCTAGAAGTGTCACTATGTTCATGTGGCAGAACCACCTAATCTAATGCCTCACAGAAGTACTCGTCTTCCATTAGACACTAAACACTTAATGGAAGACACTAAATTACGCGGTACTGTCGGGCACACCCTAGGGGAGAACCCGAAAATCCATATTTTCCATCAGGATCACAAATGAGAGAATAAAGCTTACATCATTATTAACCATTTCTTACCTCACTTTTAATATAACATCAGAGTATAATATTTACTGTGGATAATAGCATAATATTATCATGTTATCATAATTATGAACAATTTAATTGAACAGCTGAACATAAACATGTGAACAGAGTTACAGCGAAATTAAACATCTATTTATGACGTGATGAAATATTGATATATAAACTACGACAATAGATTATAAAACTTTCATTTAATAAAACATTTGGTGAGAGTTATAAATAAAAACTATGATCGCGGCGTAAAGAAAATCCTCTCTGAGTCCACCAGGAGGAATCCACACACAAAGGTCGGCTCTAACCTCCACCTGTCACCTGCAACAGAGAGAAATAAAAATCTAAGTACTCAATTATACTCAGCAAGACTTATCCGGCAGTAAGAAAGAAAAGACTCCAAGGATATGCAAGGCTATCTAGCTTGTGAGTTTATTGCATCTGTAGGAAGCATTACTAAATGTACGTCCTTATATTCGATTTTTATTAGCAGTCGTATTAATTCATTAACTAACCATTCTATGTAAGCACTTGTGCTACTTTCAAGCAGGTGGTAAGCAATCAGATTTCCTTTTACCATCTTTCATCTTCCTGTTCTTACTACGATGCTAGAGTTTAGACAAGTCGTACCGGAACACCGACAATTCACGAATCAATGCCCCTAGCTGGATATTTCGAAAACACACGTCTCGCTTGTACCCCCAGGCACAAGCAGGACTAACCCACTATCCTCCTGTTACGGGGTCTAGGTCCCCATCCAAACCGAGACTCGAAGCCCCCGCCCCTGAGTCCTGGACTCAGTGCGGTGCAAGGACCTCCACCCAAAAATCATCCTGACAGTCGGTCTGAAATAGTCAGAACCCATGACAAGAGAGTAACAAGTCTTCTTTGCGTCCATACCCAAGTATGTGCTCGGGATAATAAGTCTGTGACTTGCCTATCGTCCAATGCAACGGTCGGTCCTTAACCGACACAGACAGGGAAAACAGTGTAACCAAGCTATGCCTCGTTGGCCGCAGGACACAACCTCTTACACCCATCAATACCTAAACCATATCCCTGCCCGATCACCTTATCATTTCCACCATTTATATATTCCAATTGATAATAATACAATAATATATTTTCTATCTCTCGCGAGTGACAGACAATCACTCAACTTCTATCGGAGTCCTGTAGCATAGCAATCTACACGATCCTGTTATACTAGTAAGATTCATAGGATAAAGATATATATGCAAGTGGGTTTCATTCAATTCCTTAGAACTTAATGCACAGATATAATTTAAAGTGCAAAAAAGTAGGGGTTATGCATCGAGGCTTGTTTGGGTAAGATTTAATCAGAAGTTAGCTTTCTATCATGGCGACACGATCTCTAATAGTATAATTTTTTCAGTAACTCCCGATGACTCCGCGATCCATCGATGTCCCTATCATGATATGCAATGCGATAAAATGCAAAGACGTGATTAATCAACTGCAACCGTGACTCGTAAAATACGATTTACGCCACTCAAGCTAACGAGCTAGTTCTAACGACGACCGTACTTAGGCTACGTATTCATGTTGTCGAATAAGACGTTATTTCCCAACATATATTTTAGTTATACAATCTCAAGATGTTTCTTTATCCCATTCTATCAATTTAATCTTTATTCGAAATGGGGCATCATTACCTATCTAGCAAACTAAGTATTCTGGAGCTGCAAAAATTACAGTGAGCAACTAATAATATTAATAATTTACTATAAAATTTTTAGAGTCAACACTATCACCAATTTATCATGGAAATTCCTATAAATTCATCTTTTAACAATATTAAGCATGTTAAAATAATTAGAGCAACCCTAAAAATATACTGAATCTATGTGAACGAAACACTCGATAGATCATGATTTTAGGAACTCAACAAAACTAGTTTGGTATTTTTATGATTTTTCTATGATTTACTACGAATTTTACAAGTTTATTTTCAAAACTAAATTAGCTAAATATTTTCTAGAACGAAAATAGTGATATATAAACGACGACGCTTTCATTTAGCGACATTTAGAGGAGAGTTATAACGCAAAACTATGATCGCTGGAGCGAGCGAGCCACCGAGAAATCCACACACAAAGGTCAGAAGCCTCAACCGCCCAGCGCTGAGCGGCAATAAACCGCCCAATTGTATGGACGACTTACCGGCGAAAAGAAAGAAAAGACTAAAGGATATGCAAGGCTATCGCATTGACGACAGAGGCTAAGTGGGCGGCATTCGGTAGCGATCGTGGCGGTTCATTAACTAACCGACCCCACCCGCCTTTCCGGGGAAAAAATCTAGCGACTTTTATCATCACCACTTTACGCTGAGACGCCTGATCTTTCTTTAAATTAACCCGCGGTACTCTAGGCACTATTTAACACTATTAACATGAGTCACGTATTTTGCAATAAGAACCTTGTATTAATTTCTATTCACACTATCTCACCTTCTCTTCATCCTCAAGAGCAGAGGAGGCATGGGACGGGCGCGGCCGACCAAATCCTAGCCACTTAACAAGTACCCGCCCCATTGGTGGGATGTGCTCGGGCATAATAAGTGACGTGGCGGACCCGCCGCCGCGCGCGTCATCGACGACAAAAAACCGAGGCGACCACACACACGACCATGACCACGCATACGCCGCATGCAGCGACCATGGGGTCGACCTATCGCGACGGTGGCGGGTGAATATATCAAGTGGGTTTCATTCAATTCCGTTAGTGCCGCTCGTTTAAAGTCGTGGTCGTAGCGGACGATGGTGGTGCGGCGACGGTCGGTCGAGTAGCGCGAGCTCGAGGTGCGCTCTTATAATTTTTTCAAGAACTCACGGCGACGCGCGCGACCCCTACGATATGCACGGAGGAGATTAATCAACCTGTAACCGACACCGACGCGCGTCCGGCCGCTAACGGCTAGTCGTGGATGCTACGATCGGCGCGGGCGGTATTTTCCAACGAGGAGCTCACAATCTCACGCTTTATCGACGCCAAATTTAATCTTTATTCACATGGGGCGATTACCTATCTAGCAAACTAACAGCGGCGCGACCAAAGGAGCGTCTTAATGCGGGGTTTCATATGTCGCACTTCAACCGGCACGGCCTATAAGTTCACGGGCGTCGAGGCGATGGGTCTCAAGATGGCTATGGGCGTGATGCCCGGATATCTCAACAAAACCTTTCTTTTTATGTCCGCGCCCGCCGCCAAACTAAATCTCTTTTTCTCAAGCCACATCCGCGACTGCGTCCGCGCACGGCAACAAACCACGCCAACACCCTCCATCCGCGGGCATGCCTGCAGCCCGCCAAAGTTGAGTATATACATAAAACCATAGTGCATTATAAGAGATATGAAGATACATATTCACAACAAATCGTGTATATATATACATATATTTGTTTCATGGGTCCCACATGCTAGACCATGTGGAGCGAGCAAATCCGACCATTTCATCTCGACGGGATAAGTGGGTGAGAATAGCAAATTTCTTTGCCCGCAAAGAACTATCCTCTGGGTTCAGGATGGTGCCCACGCCCGTGTCCGCGGGCAAGAAGTGGTGCCCGTATCCTTGCCCATCGGGTTCCATGCCCGTGGGCATACAGGCATTCTGTGCCCGTTGCCATCTTTAAGTGGGTCTAGCGCGGGACCGGGGGTACGTGCGCGCGCTCACGCTAGATGCCAGCGACGAACAGCAGGAGGCGCGGCGATGGTGGAGGACAGAGCGAGCGAGTGAGCTGGGCTAGCTGGGCGATGACATTTACAATGCTTGGCCATCTTTGTCCGTGTATGCATTAAAGGCGCGTGGCGTTCGCGCGATGCGGCTTAAAGAAGACATGTCGCGAAGTACCATGACGAGACGGCTCGGCTTTGTCTGCATGCGGACGGCGGCAGCGGAACAGCGGCCGCGTGCAGAACCCACCGCGCAAAACCAATGCACAAGGCGACACGGGGAGAGCAGCGGCATCACGACGAGGTCATTAGTTCGATGGGACAACGGAGGCAGTGACTACTCGGCGGAGGCAAGCAGAGAAATAGAGAGCCAACAGGCGGGGCGGCGAGAACTAGGGTGCCTTTCCTCAGCTGCAGAAAAAAGAAAAGGAGAGAAAGCAGCACACGACAACGGCAGAAGGCGGCAGCAGCTTGAGGTGGCGGGCCTTTCGGCACACAGGTCATGTCAACATAATGACACCGAAATTTGGGGGAGCGAGGCCACGTCTGAAAGCGGCGTGAAAAATGGTAGTGGCCCGACCGGAGCTAGATGGACTAAGGCGAGAGTGCTCTGCTAGTTAAGTCGAGACCGAGTACATTCGAGGAAACGACGAGGCACCACCGTCTCTCAAACTAGTGCATAGACGGGACGACTCGAACCTGGCGGGACGCGAAGGCAGCCAGCGCGACAAATCATCCATTAACGCGCGCGTCGTACCGGCGAGGTAGGTGGGATAAGTGACCAGCGACACTCTCGTTATTATTTTAAAACTAACAACATCACAATGACACTCGAACAAGCATACCGACATATTCACAATGTTCATATCCTGCTGATGATATAATTTTTTTGTTTATATTTTATATTATTTTAGCTTCCAAAAATTCATTTTATAAACAACTTTATGTACTAACAAACGTAGCTAAAACTCTAAGGTTTTAATATTTAGCAAATTTTATTTTCAACAATTTTTGTTTATAAAAATTGTTTTTCATGCTTAATCAAATAAATAAGCCATTCACCATTTATTTGCCATCAGGCATTTTTAAGCACTAGTACATACGTCAATCTATCTCGTAGAAGCAAAACATCTAGGAACTAATTAACCCGTTGTTCAATATAATTCGCCAAAATTGACACTTTTAAATATAAGTTAATTTTTTTTTTTTAAAATCCGAGAAAATCGTTTTGGTAAATCCTCTTATGTCTAAATCTCGGTGCTAAAGCAAGCTCGTAACACCAGAGGTGTTACAGTTCAACTCTAGTCTCAAACTTATTTTTTATGGCGTATGTCCTCATACTTAAGATGAACTTATCCTTGTCTCCAAATATGTCTCCTTCCTTAATAATTGGATTCTCTATGTCATATGTTGTGTGAGGAACATCATAATTATCTACCATAGCAGCCTCATCATCAGGAACACGCTCAGTATCAAAGTTTGAAATAGGCCTTGGCCTCTTCCTTGTTTGCACCTCCACTTTAATATTTTTTAATGTCTGTTCATCATTAACGGTGTCATCAATATTTCTGAAATACCTCCACTCTTCATCTACTCCAGTTGGCTCATCTCCACGAGGATCGCACCCAATAGTCATGAAGTGTTCCTTCTCTTCCTCTTCAGCCATTGGTGGACCTGTTGTTGTTTCTCCATATTTTGGTTCTTCTGCCCATTCAAATCCCCCAACTTTCATCTCCTCAACGACACTCGCTGCAGTAGGCATGTGTTCACCATCCATGTTAAATGCAGCAGTCATGTCCTCGCTAACCCTGTTCAATGCGGCAGGCTTCTCATCCCCTTCCTCACGTCTTCCTACTATCATTAGGAACTTCACCAGTTGAGATGCCCTTAGCAAATCAAGAAGCTGACCATCTAAAGTTAATTTGCATGTCATAGTTTGCCCGGTTAGAACCCAAAAATTTGCCTTTTGATTGTTGTCCCATGTTTCATGGAGCGATATCCTTCTCCAGATCAATGACTGCGTACTCTTCTGAATCAACAATCCAGCAATTTCAGGTCCTCACCAATTCATCTGACAACCATGTGCACACACAAATACCAGCAAAATACATGCACACTCAAAGAACGTAAACAAGGTGAGAGAAGATTACCCTTGTGGAACTTCGGCAAGATCCATGCCTACTTAAATCTCTGACCTCTCGAATCAGCCCTACAAAATCCCAAGAAACTAGGGTTCATACTCAAGAAACGATAGCTCGAGGAGATGGAAACAAAGATAAAGAGGAGTGGAGGAGGCGTGCACCATGGATGAGAGGCCCGAGGAGCTGCAGTTCCGGCCGAGGAGACGCGCCGCCGGGAGGTCTGCCGCCGGCCGCCGGGCACTGGAATGGCGCGTGTCTTCTCCCCTGGTTCCCCGTGCGTGTGTGCGTGAGCTGGGCTGGGTGCGTGAGTTGGCTGGGTACTGGGCCTGTGCGTGAGTTGGCTGGGTGTTCAAAACTCTTTTTTTATTCCCATTACTTTAACGGAGAGTTAACAGAAATTGTAGAAATAGGTAATTATCGTTAGATGCTATTTTTCTACAGCTCGATCTTTCGATGCTACTTTTGTAAACTTTGGATCTTTTAATGGTACCAATCCAATTTTCCCTAGAAATAGAGAGTTTTGGTAAAAAAAAGTACTCCTAGACATTTTTTTAAAATTGGATCTCCAAATATTTTTCATCTTTAGCATGAAGAAAATATTATACTAGTATCAAGCAACTATTTTAGCATTGTATAAACTTTTGTTGACTTGTAAGATGGACCCCAGTCTAAAAAATAATACGACTCTAGATAATACCGCGTCAACTAATATATAGTTTAACCAAATTTATACAAAATAGTATCAATATATAAGATACCAAATAAGTCTAGATTCGACATGAATATACTTTCAGAACTATTTGTTGTTAGAATATAACTTTTTTCTTAATTTGGTCAAGATTTAGTTTGGCTAATAAATGAACTATGATTGATTCCTTAGTGAGTCACATGCCTTCCTTTGTTCATAAAATCAAGTATCACTGAATTGCTACAAGATAGTTTAAAAAGACAACCTATTTTATGAGTTACTTTGTTTTACTTGTTTCACGGCTACGTGAAGCCCTACGATGGGGATGTACTCAAAGCGAACGACCTGACAACCACGACAAGGTGTTCAGTGGTCCCGATAACGATATATCGAAATGCACCCCTTGGAAATCGTAAGGAAATTTCCTCTGTGTAATTCAGCAGCACATGCAGGGCCTGTTCGCTTGGAGAAATTTGGAAGAATCTGGATGAATATGTGAGAATTTGTGAGAGTGTGAACAGTGAATTTCAATCGTAAACAATGAATTATGGTTGAAATTTCCGCCAGTTGAACGCAGCCGTAATCTGCAAGTGCTCCATGTGTAGTGCTGGTTCACTCTTCACACGACCAAGAGTAAATTTGAGTAGCACTAACGAACAACGGTGTGTGCATCTTTGCCTTTCATAGCATCGACTCACTGGCGTCTCGGCTATCCATGATAGACCCATCACCCATGCATCCTGCATATACCATCGCCCACACAATTAGCGTTAAGTTCAGTGGCTCCATCAAATCATCAACCGATCAGTTGACGACACCGTGTTCTGATCTTCTGAATATGAACAATATAATGGCTGGTTTCCAGTTGCCCGGCGAGGAAACTAACATTGATTTTCCTTTTTTCTTTCAAGTGAGTGGTATCCAATCCGTTTCCCATATTGTTTTGTTTTTTCAGACCTATATATAGGTCTCGTTTTTGTTTTGGTATAATGATCACGGTAAGCCTTTGCGTAATGCTTACTGCTCCGTAGATGATGGAATAGGATAAGGTTTGGCATGGCTTCCGCTCTAGTTCTCTTCTGGCGAAGTAGCTTTTTTTTAATAAGAAGCTAAAAACCTTTAAAAGAGTATGGCAGATCGGTTTCTCTAAATTTCTTCTCGAAGACGCCATATTTTTTTTAGCTTATCAGGCATTCCTATAAAAAAAACAGCTATGGCTTCTTACATGGCTTCGATGGTGAAGCCATCTTTTTTAGGGGAATTTAAACTTCCATTAACCAACCATATCAACTGAATCGCTTGACACCAAGTACAATATACAATCAGGCACTCCGGTCAATACTGAGGAGGTTTCCTCTATACTCATGCTCCCTAAAGAAGCTAATCCATGCGCTACACGATTACATTCTCTTGGTACGTATTTCAATTGGGGATACATAAAGTTTTCAGCTAGCAATTCTTTTAGTTCATGCACCAGCCCCCCATCGTGGACAATCTGAAATCATCCCCCAGGAGTGCATCTACGACCTGTATAGCATCAGTTTCAAAAATCTACAGTATTTTTTTTTCACAACAAAACCGCTTTCACCGGCTTATCGACTTTAATACCAGATGAACAGCCCACCTGCTGCCGCTTTCAGACCTTCGACGCAGGCTCGAAGCTCCATGTGCATTGGATTGCAAGCGAAGCGTTGCCGTCAGAAACCGGATTGGTTACATACTGCTGTTTTTGCAGACACCAAATTGGCCCCTAATATAAAACTGTCTTCTTTGCCGTGAAGTGCGAACAACTGAACAAACCATTCTGACGCAGCAGCATCCAAAATCTTGGCCCAGAGGGATTCAGGATCAAGCCCAGATTGTAAAGAGGCCCAGTCCGAACCGAACCCGTCCGACGGCGGCCGACCGCACGGGCACGGCGACGACCCTGGCGTTCTCTGCTGGACCGCAGAGCCGAGAGAGCCTCTTGAGCCGTCGGATCACACATCCACGCCTGTCACGCACCGGCCGCCGCGTTCCTCTATCCCGTGCTCTGCGCCTCCGTGTCCCTTTCCCGAAAAACACTACGCCGTCTCCCTCGCGCTCCAGGCTCACCCTGCCATCCCCATCCAAAACCCTCGCAAAACCCCACCTCCGCCTCCGCCTCCGCCTCCGCCTACCCTACCGCCATTCTCTTCTTCCCTAAATGCGGCAGTAGCCTCCACGCTGCACACGGCGAAGCGATGGCTCTCTCCGCCGCGCTCCGCCTCCCGCTCCCGCTCCCGCGCCTCCTCGGCCCCTCCGCCTCCATCCTCGGCGCCGCTTCCCGCCGCCGCGCCGCCGCTGCCACAGCGCCCGCGGCCGCCCTCCGCCTCCTCGCGGCCTCGTCCCCCAGTCCCGCGTCCTTCTCCTCGCGGCCCGCGCGCGGCCTCCGCTCGCGCCGCCGCAACCGTGGCGATGATGGGCGCGCGGCTGCGGCCGGCGGCGGGGAGGGCGGCGGAGGTGGAGCTGCGGTCAAGGAGCGGATTCTGCCCGTAGAACTGCACAAGGAGGCCACGCAAGCCTACATGTCGTACGCCATGTCCGTGCTGCTCGGCCGTGCGCTCCCCGACGTCCGTGACGGCCTCAAGCCCGTGCACCGGAGGATACTGTGAGCTCTCGCCTTCTCCTCTCCGCGTTCCTAGTTCCACGTGTTGCTTTTTGCGAATAGGAAATACATGTGGCAGATAAGCTATTGAGATGTACAGACCGCATAGATGCTACATTGTGTTTGCTTGAAGAATGGAAAAGTTCGACAGTACATATGGTGACATGGATTTGGAATAGGGGCCTAGGGGGCCAAGTAGTGTGCACAAATTACTCTGAGGGAAGTATATTACAGCCCATGCTATTGCTTGTTGGATGGTTATGAAATATCTTAGTTGTTCAAGGTATTTACTAGTTATACATGGATACTGCTCACTCTGTATAAGAGATGCCCTTTTGGTTGATGTAGCGTTGCCAACTTGCCTATGCCTCATTTGGAACGTGGGAATTCCATGGGAACAGTATTTTTTCCTGTAAAAATCCTTATTTCCAAAATGCCTATTTGCCATGACCTGTTTTCAGCTTGGCAAATAACTACTTCATATGAAGTTTGTCTGGAAAGTCTTACCTGGTCTTACACTGCCCTACTCAACGAAGCAGAGTTGTTGATATGACATGCATTTGTTTTCTGGATGTAACCTTATCTGAAATATTCTCATGTTTATTTACCATCTGCGTGTCTTCCCCTATTACTTATCATTGTTATCTAAAGGACTTATTGTCAAGGAACTTCTAATTTCAAAGAATTTTTTGGGGGCATATACAACTCTATCCATATAACTGTCTGTACATCATACTTCCCTTATATTCCTTTTACTGACCTTGCTCCATCCCATTTGGGTGATTTCTAAAATCTGTCTGCAGCTATGCCATGCATGAGATGGGCCTTGCGTCTCGTAGGCCATTCAGAAAATGTGCCAGAGTTGTTGGTGAGGTATGCAAGCATGAACTTGTTTTAGTTAGCTATAATTTTGTTCAATGATACTGCAGCTTTGTGTGATACCATTCTTCCTATTTGGTATTTCATTGCCGATTTTTTTCCTAATTTTTCAGGTACTAGGTAAGTTTCATCCACATGGAGATACTGCTGTTTATGAAAGCTTGGTTAGAATGGCTCAGGTAAAAATATTTTGAATGTTATTTGATTAATGAGTCAGTACATTGTTATCTGGTTGCAAGAGAGACATCTAGCAAGGTCTGAACTGAATAAAAATTGTACACTGCTGTCAGCTCTTTGCATCAAGGCTCTTAGTATGCTTGTTGTCACCATATCAGTTAATTTGAAAATAACATTAACTGTTCACTCCATGCTCGACAGAGATGTACATGTGACAGTTGTACTAAAATATAACATTATATGTTTGCCAATCATTATTATTGGGGCAAACCGTTGTTTACTACATTTGCATCCCAGCTTCCCCTAAGGGCACCCTCAACAGTTGAGCTAATATGTTAGCTTATACTTTGCCACATCATTTTTAGTTAGTACAAGAGATGAGCAGTCCAACAGTCTAGCTCTTAAATCATCATCGTGGGTCCCACCTCCTTTCTTCCCCAACCTTTGTCCTCTTCCTCAGGCTGCCCTCACACCGCTGCTGCCGCCCTGCGTGCTCACGGCCTCGCGCTAGGCTGCCGTCGGGCTTTGTCCGTGCCAGAGCGCCGCCACCGCATGTGCTTGCTTTGGGTCGCCGCCGCATGTTCTCTGCGCCGGAGCTCTGCTGCGTGTACCAGGGCGCCGTCACACATGCTCGCACCGGGCCGCCGCCACGCCGGAGCTCTGCTGCCGGGCGAGTCCCCTGCCCTTCTCGCAGACTACTCTCCGTGCATCTTGCATCTTCAACAGAGAAACAAGAGCCAGGCCATGCGTGCGTGAAGAGAGAAGCAAGAAAGAGAAAAAGTGAGGAACAGAGATGGGCAGGCCCACACGAGCATCTTGTAACTTGTTCGAGCTAGGCGTAGAAACAAGAGCGAGCTCCTCTTTTTCTCCCTCTTCTCTCTCATCCAAGTAAGCAAAATGCTGAGGTGGACTTCTATGAGCTAGCTGAGGTGGACTTGTTGGAGCTGCCCTAATGTTTGTTTGTGCTCAATTATTGTTAAATGTTCCTACTTGGCTTTTCACATATCCATTCTGCAGTTAAAGTTATGTCTGTTTTGCACATTTTCTGTAAACTACAAGTTTTTTTTTTTGTTATGTTCTTTCAGGATTTTTCCATGAGGTACCCGCTTGTTCAAGGACATGGAAACTTTGGCTCAGTAGATGCAGACCCTCCTGCTGCTATGCGATACACGGAGTGCCGCTTGGATGTAGGTTTGGTTCAGTCGAATTTATTAACTCATATACATCCAAAATATTTTTTTGCACAAAAATTTATGGAATATTTTGTTACACCTTAATTAGGTAACTGCTAAGTTTGTTCATTATGTACATTCATCCCTACCGAACTCCATGTTGTGAAAGACACCCAAACCATTTATTGATTTCATACTGCATTCATCCCCTACTGAGCACAGTTTATTTGGAAGTCACGTTAAGCACTACACGTTTTTTTATGGGAATAAACACTACTTATTGTTCTTACTAAGCACTTAGCCTTTTAACCACTTGAAATAAATGAATCTCAATATATCAAAATGTTATTTACACTGCCTATCTGTTAACTACGAATGGTTTACTGTTGAATGACATTCTTGTTGTGTTGCAGTCGTTAGCAGAAGCCATGTTCTTGACTGATCTGGAGCTGAACACAGTATATCTTTTCACTCACTTCTCTGATGTCATTCTCTTTACGTGGTTGTTGCGCGAGTGCGATGTTGTCCATTTTCTCATCCATTCCATGCTGTTGCTTGTTATTTGACAGGTTGACTTTGTGCCAAACTTTGATAACTCACAGAAAGAGCCATCTCTGCTTCCAGCTCGTGTCCCATCTTTGTTGTTGAATGGTTCTTCCGGGATTGCTGTATGAGCTCTTATTTATTTAATTAGTTTATTACACAAGTGATACTACTAATCTGGTATTTACTTATGTACAAAAATGAAATTCTTTCTAATGCTTAAACTCAGGTTGGAATGGCAACAAATATTCCTCCTCATAATCTGGGGGAGCTTGTTGATGTGCTTTCTGTTATTATTCAAAACCCTGAAGCTACAGTGAGTAATATACCACTCCCTCCATTCGGTTCTCTATCTTTTAATATCATTATAGTACATATATAATTATCTTATATTACCTACCCCTTTTTGTTTGCATGTGTTGTATGTGTGTCAAAATGTCTAAGCGCTCAGCTGATAATTTTTCCCTCAGATAATTATCAACAAATCCTATATGGAGCAAGGAAGAACAACTGCTTAGCATGTGCAAATGATCACTAGGAATTTGACGCTCCGTTGCAGAATCATCAGAATTATTTTGTTAACTGTTGAAGTAGATAGCAGAATAATAATCTCATCGTGTGGTTTGCTAGCTCCCTAGATGAGTGTCACCTGTCGAGATGAGTAGGCCATATGGAATATGATTAACGCAGCTGAGCTCGTCCAGTTGTGTTACTTAAAATAAATGAATTAGACATTGTCACTGTTAAGTTATCTTTTCTTCTGAGTCTGTAGATATCTCATAATCTTAACTTCACTTTTGTGTTCTGTTTCTTGCATTTGAAAGCTCCAAGAACTACTGGAATGCATGCCTGGTCCTGACTTCCCTACAGGAGGGACAATCCTAGGAAATCAAGGGTATTTAATCCCTTTTTTCTTTTGTCTTGTTGTTGTCTCTGACTTCTGCGCTAACTTGTGTACCCACCTCCACCTCACTACCTTTCCCTCTTAAATAGTATTTTGGAAGCATATAAATCTGGACGTGGCCGCATTGTTGTGAGGGGAAAGACTGACATCGAAACAATTGACGAGAAAAGCAAGCGCACAGCTATTATTATTAAAGAGGTATGGGTTACAGATTTTGTTTTTGGAGTAGTGGCTGACATCTCTACTGTTGTTTGTTCGAGGGCATGAACTTACTAATTTATACATTTCCGCACAGATTCCATACCAAACTAACAAAGCCACTCTTGTACAAAAGATAGCTGAGCTTGCTGAAGATAAGGTAAGTTTATTTGGAGCAGACTTAGTTGTCTGGTTGGTCTTAACCTGAGTCTATTCTGTGATAAGTTTGATATTTTGCTAGCGCCATGATGGAAACATTAAGAATTCCTACAATTGTTGTGTTCTTATGTGCAGGTGTTGGAAGGTATTAGTGATATTAGGGATGAAAGTGACCGCACTGGAATGCGTGTAGTAATTGAGGTTCGCACCACCATCTTTTATTTCTATCTGGAGTCTTAGGGATTTTAACTTTTATTTTTTATGTGGAATACTTATTTTCCTTGTACACTGCTCTAGCTGAAAAGAAGTGCAGATCCTGCCATTGTCCTGAACAACCTGTATCGTCATACAGCTCTGCAGTCTAGCTTTAGCTGCAACATGGTGGCGTAAGTACGCTTAAAGCCTTAAACCATTTCTTTACAACAATAACAACAAAGCCTTTACAATCAAAGAAAACAACCAAGCGCCCTAAGTAAGTCGGGGTAGTCTCGAATGCTTAAGCCATTTCTACAATTTAATATTTTCACTACATTTAGTATTATGTTTTACAGCAAATAGGAAAACAAGTTACTCGTTTTCTTGATTCTTGATGTTGCTCTTTTCCTCCCAAAAGGACATGGCAGTGAATAGAAAAGTCTCTTCTCATTTCATTCGGCCGTGGTCTTTGATTTTGTTATATTATCCTCTTTTCTATGAGATCAATATTATCACGCATGCTAGTTAAAGCTATAGTTCTTGAATCACAGTATAAAACTATAAATCTCTTCTCTATTTCTCCTTCATCTTGTTTCTGAATTTGGAAGTAAGATTACTGTCCTAATGTAGAATGCTTGAAATAATATCTTGTCTTGTTTCTGAATTTGGAAGTAAGATTACTGTCCTATTGTAGAATGCTTGAAATAATACGGATGAAGGAACAACTAAATTTAGGTTGTGTTTGGATGGTGATGCTAGCTGGCTACCACTTTCATGAAGGGGTAGCTTGGCTGGCGAATTTTTTGGGGAGCTGGCCAAACTTCCGCCATAACAAAATAGTAACCAAATTTTCAGGGCACGGCCAAATTTTGTCTTGTCTTGGTAGTCACAATCCTACATGTTGTCAATACCATTCGAAATGGTGCTCTCTGAACAAAATAAAATTCTGGAGTTCAGTTGTTCGGAAATAGAAAATGTTTCAATGCTTTCATTTTGACTTATCAAGTGTTGGGAATACCAAAACCTCAGATATGCATCCCTGATGACACATGCAAAATATCTTAGATGCTGATCTGCATCTTTGAGCTGCTCATGATCTTGTAGTTGAAGTGATTGCATTAGTTAGATCTTACTTCCTCCATCCCAAAAAGAATGTAAATCTTGTTTCCCAAGGAGTCAAACAATCCTGAGTTTGATTAGATTTATAGGGAATATTATCAATACTATCTTTAGATTGGTTTATTATGAAAATATATTGCATAATTAATCTAGTGATACTTATTTGACATCATAAATATTAGTAATTTTTTATATATATTTGGTGAAATCTTGCAATTGTTTGACTCCTCGGCAAGCGAGAGTTCCATTCTTTTCTGGACGGAGGGATGAGGGAGTATATTGTTAGCATTGCAATATAGGACAAGAAAAAATTTGCATTTTTGAATCTCATATCTGTTTTATTCTTGATCTGTTCAGTATACTTGATGGGCAGCCAAAATTGATGGGACTGAAAGAAATTCTTCAGGTGCTGTTGCGTCATTTATTTATTCTTATTATATTTTGCACAAGCAAAATATTGATTTTAGAAGCTGCATTGTTAATATGCTATATATCTGATATGATGCTTGTTTTTAACTGACTAAAGGACATAAAACATAAGATACTTTAAAACTAACTAGCACTGGGCACCCTTATATACATGGATTTGTCGAGGGCTCAAATTAGATGTTCAGGAGTCTTCTTTTATACAGAAAATATTAGATGTTGCTAGCTATCACCATTCTGTCGAGGAGTAATCTTGCTACTATATTGTCTAGCAATAAGCCAATAATAGGTGTTTATGCCACTTCTTTTGGATGCATTTGTGGAGGGCTCAAGTAGCCATTTCCAATATTAACTACATTCTTAGATACCAGGCGTTCAACTGAGTATTAACTGCAAGGGATGTTTATCTGTCACCAGTATACTTAATACCAAGGGCCACAGTACGATGGAATCAAGCTGAGCCTATCAATATATAATTTCATGTTGCTAACAAGACACTTTGATATATAATTTAGGTTGACATCTGCACACTAATGTCATAGCCCTTACCACTTTTGTGTGCATTTAATATTTTGTATCCTTAAGTTTCATTTCCTTTATACAATGTCTATGATTACTTGCACAATGATGTTGGCTCTTTATGAACGTGAGATTTAATTTCCCATTTTAAACTCTGGTTCTGCTTCAGGCGTTCCTTGACTTCCGATTCTCTGTTATTGAAAGGCGTGCAAGATATAAGCTTTCACAAGCTCTAGAAAGGAAACATATCGTGGAGGTAAATTGATTTAGGTTGGTTAGCTTCTTTGGATGTTGAAAGGTCGATGATTAATTTACTTCTTGCAGGGTAATTGTTATTGGCCTCGACAATTTGGATGCCGTGATTCAAATAATACGAGAAACATCAAATCACACTGCGGCAACAAGAGCTCTAACGAAGGGTAATATTTTGCAGTTCTATTATGACATGCTTTGTCTGATTTAGCTACTATGCTGATCATTACATGAAACAAGTGTAGACACTTTATGTTGTAATTTGGACCACCTTAATTCTATGCTTCTTACCCTAGTCCTGCACTTCTGGTTCAGCTCCCTCCTAAAACACATTGACTTAGCATGTGACTGACTTAGTGCTATGGTACTTATCTTAAACTTTGCTCCAATGAAGCAAATTGTTTATAGATTCCTAAATCCTCGATATTCCATGATGGACTCGAGCAATGATTTCCTATAACTATGGGCAATCTAAAGCTGCGCAGTTTGCCATACAATGTGCCTTGGACATTATATCTTGCCTCCATAAACAAAAACACAAACTTGATGAAACAGAGATTATTATAAAAATATTATTGTAAAACAGATTTGATTCATATGTTTACCCTGTTCATGTTCAGAATTTGATCTATCTGAGAAACAAGCTGAAGCTCTGTTGGATATCACACTAAAGAAGCTTACTTCCCTTGAGGTTTCTACATTTGAATTCTATTGTGTTGACAGCTATTTGATTAAACTCGATTCCTCTCTCCTTCCCGAAGGAGCTGAACGGACCTCTGCTTTTTGCAGCGGAAGAAATTTGTGGATGAAGCTAAAACCTTGTCAGAGGAAATTTCTAAGTTAAATGAGCTTCTGTCAAGCAAGGAACTTATCTTCCAGGTTCGACATTTCTTCATATTTACAGAATCTGCTGTATGTTCATAATTCATGTGACACTAGTTTTAAGTTTTTTTTAGCATAAAATACAGCAGGGGAAACCCCCACTGACACTAGTTTAAGTTACTGTGCATATGACATGTTCTGAACTGTATGAACTCCTTTCCTTAGAATTGGAGGATCGCAAATGATTTTACATGGGTCTATACTTTGTGCAATGTTGGTAAAGAATTGCTATAACTTGACAGGACATGGTACTTGGCAATAAAATTGGTTGTTTTCCCATTATCTCTGACTGTAGACTGTAACTGCAAGGCTCTGGATACATGGGCAGATCATGTTTGTCCCATCAAATTTTGTCCAAACTTTTAGCTTTCTCCTATTAGAATTCCTCTTCTGCACAAGGAGCATGTGACTTCATTGCTATACATTTGGGAAATGGGAATTAAATGAATTAAATAGTTGTACAGTTTGTTTCATTAAACTGTGTTACTTCCAACTGTTCATCCGTTTTGTTTGAGATAATGCAGTCAATGTTATTAGTGCTTATTTCGTTTGCAATCCATCTTATGGTAATATGTTTCTTCCTCGCTTGGTATCACTGCAGTGCTTTTATAGAGAGGTGATGAACCAATGTTTCGCTGCTATGTCTTGAGTGTATAGTTTTTTTTCCTTATTGAATATATAGTTGGAGCACATCCGGGGATCTTGATGTCAACAATTTCCTAGTTTTTATGTTTAAGTTCTTGAAATCTCACACTTGTGATTAAAAGTTCTATGAGTATATCCGTGTTAGCTTCCTTTGCATTTCTTATCTTATTGCGCTGCCAGGTGCTAATTGTTCCTTCTGACTTTTTAGCTTATACAACAAGAAGCTGCCTATTTGAAAAACAAGTTTTCTACACCGCGGCGTTCTTTGATAGATGATTCAGTAAGAAGTGAAGTTGATGACATTGATATTATCCCTAACGAGGAAATGCTTTTGGTGCGAGCAATTGTCTATTCCTACCTTCTAATTATCCAATATAGTTTTATCCTCACTCAGTTACCTCATTTTTTTCTGCCTCTCTTCACATGCCTTTACATCTAGAAGATTCTTAGTGAGAAAGGCTATGCTAAGCGAATGAATCCCAACACATTCAGTTTACAACATCGGGGAACCATAGGAAAGTCTGTTGGAAAGATGCGGATAAATGACAGCACATCAGATTTCATTGTTTGCCAGACGCATGATCACGTTCTTTATTTCAGGTATGTGAACCAGGAATGAGTAAATCTTTTAGCATCTTTGGAAGTTCTTTGCTTTTAAGGACTACATAAGCTACAGTAATCTGTCAACTTCCTCCGTCACAGATATTAGTCCATCTAAGTTTATCCTAAGTCAAAATTTGACTAGCAATATTTATAAAAGTATATCATCTTAAATTAAAAAGATTATATTATGAAAGTATTATTCATAAGAAATCTAATAATTTCAATCTCATGCTGTCAATATATATAAATTTTTAATATGCTAATGGTCAAAGTGACTTAGGACTGACCTAGATGGACTTATATTTACTATGGAAGGAAGTAGAAAGCATGTTTGAACCTATACAAATACTCCTGGAATTTACTTGTTGCATTTGAAGCTGCCCGCTTGGACTTGTACTTACTGTGGGCATGTATTCACTGTTCTATTCTCATATAATGTAATGTAATGGTGTTTATTTTCAGTGACAAGGGAATTGTATACTCAGCACGTGCTTATAAGATACCAGAATGTACTAGAACTGCTACTGGGACTCCGTTGGTACAGGTGCAGTGATAAATGTTAACTTGGACTAATGAAGCGTAGCAGGCGATATGCTAACATTTGCTACTTCGTTCTTATTTTAGCTGCTATCATTATCTGATGGAGAGCGGATAACCTCCATCATTCCTGTGAGTGAATTTGGTGAGGACCAATGTCTAGTGATGCTCACTGTTAATGGCTATATCAAGAAAGTACCTCTTAATGCCTTTTCATCAATCAGATCCACTGGTATCATATCAATTCAACTGGTATACCATCTCATTTGCTTGCGTTTCTTACACATACCATATCATAATTAAAATTTTATATACATCTTTTATTCAATAACTACTAAATGTTAGGTTCCTGGTGATGAGCTTAAGTGGGTCCGTTGTTGTGGCAATGATGACTTGGTTGCATTGGCTTCACAGAAAGGGAGGGTGATAGTCAACTCATGTGATAAGGTATGCTACAAACACACATCTTGGTATTGATATATTGATTCCTGTACTCTACTCAATGGGAACTGCTAGCAGATTTTATATCGCAGTGTAGCTCCTGAGAATAAAACCATTGTCACAGAAGTACAATTTTGCCTTGATTTTACAAATGGTTTTGTTATAAATATTTTAACTATGTTTGGAGTTTCAGTAAGTTCAGTTTTTTATACCATTCAAGTTTTGTTTGGTTGACTATATGTGTGAAAGAGCTTGCCATTTTGGGTTGCGGTACTTACATATATTTCCTTATTCTTATATTCATGTTTCATCCAGCTTCGTGCCCTTGGAAGGAATACCAGGGGTGTATGTGCGATGAAGCTAAAAGAGGGTGATAAGATGGCAGCCATGGATATAATTCCAGCAACGGTGCACAAAATGCCTGAAAGATATAACAGCAGGTAATTTCATCTATAGTTTGGGAAGTGGTTAGTAATTGGCACTGTGTAGTATGGGTTTGTAAAATAGGGTCCTGTTTGGATATGAGGTATTTTTGTAGTATTGGATTGGAAAAATACTACAGTGAAAGTCTCTGCACTCCAGCAATCCACATCTAAGGGATTGCGAAGATGAGCTCCTCCATATTATTGCTCTGTTTGTAGTAGCAACATGTCTTTGCTGTTTGCTCCTCCATCTTGCTATGTGAAGATGACAGCAAATCTATTGACAAAACAATGTACCTCCCAAATTCAGTGGTGCATCATAAAGGTCCTCTATACCAACTTGTCTTGATGCTTGCTTTAAAGTGTTTATATACTACATAGTATATATTATATGTAATATTAAAAATCCTGATATATACAGGATGACTACTCGACTAAGACCGACTAGGGTCGACTAATCGACCTGGTTGGCAACTAATCATAACTAATTGGCTGGGCGATCCCATAGCAACTAGGGTTGATTAGATGATTTGATAACATGGCCATAGTTTTCTAAAACTGCTGCATCCAAATAGACCCTTAGTAGCTTTAGAAAACGTGATAAGAATTTGAGTATATTCGAAATACTGAAAATCCAGTGATAATAGATATTGTGCTTAAGTATAGGCACTGTATCCTTATAAACAACTTTATTTCATATACTAATCCTGAACCCAACCTTTTGCTTCCCGCAGAATTGGTTTATTGTCCATGAAACTTCATTTGCACTATCCTGTTTCCAAGCCATATTAGTTAATGTATATCTTCTCAGTTTGGGTAGTCCCTGTACTCCAGTGCTGACCAATTTGTCTTTATGTTATGGACGCTGCTCCAGGGTCAGAGATTTGAGTCCTCCATGGTTGCTTTTCATTGCTGAAAACGGTATTGGGAAACGGGTGCCCTTAAATGCTTTCCGGCAATCAAATTTCAATGCTGTAGGTTTGCAAGGCTACAAGGTATGATCAGTTTATGGTCATCAGTTTCTGCTACCAGACATTTATATATTCTTCAGAAGTATTCTAAAACTCAGTGCTTATGGCTTTAAAACTGAATTCTTAAAAGGATGCATTATGTACATACAACAGAGTTTAGGAACGTGTACTTTAAAACTTGGGGTGCGTTTAACCTGTTTGATTTGGTGTATTCTATTTTGTTTTGCAGCTTCCAGAAGATTGCCGTTTAGCCGCTGTATTTGTTGCTGGTCTTTCACTCAGTGGTACCATTTCTGAACTTGTTTCTTTCTAATTTTTAATTTGTTGTATTCCTTTATATTTTATGCTGTTACCTGTGAATTCAATGGCAGAAGACGGTGAAAGTGACGAGCAGGTTGTTTTAGTTAGCCAGAGTGGCACTGTAAACAGAATCAAAGTTAAAGATATATCTGTCCAGTCTCGGCGGTCGAGGTAAGCTAGGATCAATGCTTTAATAAAAGTGTGTAGCTGGTTCCAATTCATTACCTTCTCGTTTTCCTTGCTCGACTTCTTCAACCATGCTCTATCTCTGTTGGGCAACCAGGGGAGTAATTCTGATGAGGCTGGAGCATGCTGGAAAGATCCAGTCAGCGTCACTGATATCCGCTGCGGCAGCAGAAGTAACAGAAGATTAGTCCTGCACCCAAGATGCAAGCAGTTTAGTCTGAATTGAATCCCTGGTGTACATTGCATGCCAACTGCACATTGAGCATGCATTTTTGACTGGTTTCCTGTTGCTAATAAGCGTCAGGAATCATGTAAAATTCCACGCCAAGGAATAGTCAGTAGCTTATCATTTGGTGGGTAGATTTGCGGTTGCCATTGTTCTGTGTAGGTTGTGCGGTGCCCGCTGAACTCATAGCGTAATGAGGTTTGACATGTATTATTCGTGTCCGGAGTGACGGATGTATGTAAAATGGCACTCTGGCTTGCAAAATCCTTTTGGGGTTGTCTTGTGTTGGCCCTGCCCCTGAGGTATCTAATGATTGCTAGGTGTTAATTTTGGCTCGTTTGTCTGCTTTTATTTATGAACGTATTCACTGTAACTAAATATTCACTCCTAACAGAAACCACTGGCCTCCTGGTCGTCAGTTATAATGACCGAAATAAGTCAAAATTCCGGACACGAGCGCGACAGTAAGATTCAAATACGTCGACGCGGCTTTTGCCCAGAAGTGTTTGCTTCATATAGACGGCTGAAACAAACGCTGTAGCTAAAGCAGTGGCACGCAGCCATGCATTTCAATACCCCATCAGAACTGCAGATTCCATGCCATTGTCGAAAACGCTATCATTCTGATGTGATTGTGTTGAACATATGGACCATGAAAGAATCTCGTAATGCAATGGCAACTAATTAACTCAACTGAAACACTTTTTATCTGCTTGGTTCAGAAACATCTCAAGGTCCAAATTACATAAAACAATTTATGCCATGCAATTCAATACACCAGCAGAAGTGCAGAATCCATGCCATTGGTGAAAACGCTATCATTCTGATGTGATTGTGTTGAACATATGGACCATGAAAGAGTCTCGTATGTAATGGCAACCAATTAACTCAACTGAAACACTTTTTAGCTGCTTGGTTCAGAAACATCTCAAGGTCCAAATTACATAAAACAATTTATGCCATGCATTTCAATACACCAGCAGAAGTGCAGAATCCATGCCATTGGCGAAAACACTATCATTCTGATGTGATTCTGTTGAACATATGGACCATGAAAGAATCTCGGAATGTAATGGCAACCAATAACTCAACTGAACTCTTTTTAGCTGTTTGGTTCAGAAACATCTCAAGGCCCAAAATACATAAAACAATTTAACTGTGAAATCTTAAGCAGAGCTCAATAACTGTTGAGCTCAGGGCATACATCTTACATACCGAAATATCAACCCAACCCTAAATATCCAGCACCATCATCATCCAAAAGCTCCTAGATGATCCAAACCTCGCTTGAAAATTTAGGACTGCAAGGGTCGTCAAACAGTTAAGGTGAGTAATGAAACCACCAATTTCTGTGAAATTGAGACAATCAAGTAGTGGAAATATTTGCAGTCATCATCTTTTTTAGAAAGTGTCTAGCAAGAAGGTGAAACCATGGCATTGGTGAGCATACCTTGCTTGCAATGTTGCTGGACAGCCAGTCCAGGCCTTCGTACAATCCCTCACCAGTTGTAGCACAAGTGCTTTGAATGTACCTGTCACCAAGATTTAATGACTCTTAAGTCTCCGGCTGACTGCTAGCTAAGTACTACATTATATTACCAAGCAGAAATATGACAATACTAAAGCAATATAATAGCATACGAGGAATGAAGAAATCTGTTGATAGTGTATGTTACCAATGACGCTGGCGAAGTGAATGCAGTCCAAGCTTATCAGTAATCTCAGCGGCATTCATAGCATTTGGAAGATCTTGCTTGTTAGCAAACACAAGCAACACAGCGTCACGCAGCTCATCCTGCAACCATTAACATCCATAGCTGTGAGCACAGCGCACAAAATTACATAATTACATACCAGGGAAAGGATTCTCAAGGGCACAAGAATTTACCTCATTCAGCATTCGGTGAAGCTCATCCCTTGCTTCGACAACACGGTCCCTATCATTGCTGTCCACAACGAAGATGAGACCCTGTGTGTTCTGGAAGTAATGCCTCCACAGCGGCCTGATCTGTTTTCAGACAATGGGGGGAGAAAAAATCACGGCACAGTTTGAACTAAAGACAAGTAAATTCAGAAATTGAACAGCAGGACGTAGAATAATATTTTTCGAAGTGTACAAGAGAGGCACTAAGCAATATAAAATCATCTATTGGAGAAGTGAGAAGCAGGATGTAGAACCAATGCCATATTATTAAAATGTTTAGACACAATTCAATCGTCGATCTTACCTTGTCCTGACCCCCGACATCCCAGACAGTGAAGCTGATGTTCTTGTACTCCACAGTTTCAACATTGAATCCTGTATTTGAAGGCAAGTCAACGCTGAGAACACACAATGTCGCAACTTGCAGGTAAAGGCAGAGGCATGTTTGTGCAAACCTACCTTGTAAACAAAACAGTTTGATTTTAAGTGAACAATTTCAAAATGGAATGTGGTGTTCAAGCTGCTTTGGCAAAAAATCCCATATGCCGTGTGAAGCAAGTATTCTTTTAACAGTCACTACCTCACTATGATTCTTCACTTCATTGTATTTGACTATTTGAGTAAATTTGCTGCTCCATCAGCTTGCTAAAGAGGCTTTAAATTCAGTGGAAGAGGATGAACGTCCTATGAAGTATTAACAGAAACGCATTACGCTAGCTCACCATTCTTGTTGCTCTCAGTTATTTTTATTTTTAATTAGAAAAAAAATGATCAAAATGGTGGATATTCACGTAGTCATGTAGACAGAATTTTCAATTATTAAACTAGGTGGCCGTGGAATTATCCAATAACTTAATCCAAGTATATATATTCACAACGTGATGCTTATGAAGGCTGGTGCGCTCACCGATGGTGGGGATGGTGGTGACGATCTCGCCGAGCTTGAGCTTGTAGAGGATGGTGGTCTTTCCGGCGGCGTCGAGCCCCACCATGAGGATCCGCATCTCCTTCTTAGCGAACAGCCGGCTGAACAGCTTGGTGAACGTGAGCCCCATCTCTCCCCTCTCGCCTGCAACAAACAAACACCAAACCCAGGCCATCAGAACGCTGACCCACCACACGCCCGTCCCCGCCGCAGCCACAGGCCGCTAGATCTACGCTCACAGCACCCAGATCCACCTCGGGATCGAGCTTCCACCGCGGCGCGCAGAACCGAAAGCCACGATACGAGATCCGCAGGCGAGCGGATCGATGCACACGCAGCCCAGCACGCGCACGCGCGTTGCAAACGGCCGACGAGAGCTTTCTGCCTATACTAGATCCCGGGCGCGGAGGAGCGATCCTCCACGGAGGGAGAGGTCGGGTGGGTGGGACGGGGCTTGGCTCTCACCTTGTTGGCGGATCCGATTCGCGGTGGTGGGTTCGCCGGCGACGCAGCCGGGGACGAAGAAGGCAACGGGCGGAGACCGGGAAGGAGAGGCTCTGGGGTGATGATGCTTTCTGGCGGTGGAGCGCGTCCTCGCCTGTTTTATACGGAGTCGGAGACGGAGCCCACGGGAGGGAGCCGAGCCAGGCTTCCTTGCGCTGCGGGGTCGCGTCAACCGAACGCGTCCCACCTCCCACCGCATGCGTATATTCGACTGCAGGCACCGAAGGAGAGGACCGCAATTTGGTTCGTTGTGTGATGCAGGTAGCCAGGTAGTAGGCTGAAAATTTAGCAAAATCCTTCGTAGCAGTACGGTAAGGTTCTCAGACAGCTATATTTGCATGCCTGCGTATTGGTTTGACATTGAACTGTAATATATATACACTCTTGGTCCAATACACTCTTCCATGTGTATTTATAACCACCATTTTTTTAAGATATATTCTTAAAACCATAGTAAGATTTTGTATATTTTCATATACAGATACATGTACGTTTATCGTTTCATTCAAAAATTAATAGTAGTTTAAAGTTTTTTTATGTTCGTACTAAATTAATCTTGACCTAGCCATGTTTTTTTTTTTTTTTTCTTTTAGCATGGGCGAGAGGAACTGATCTTGAGTTTTTTTTGTAATTTTATTCCACAATGCCAGTAACTTTCTCCCTGCACGGCTGCACCGCCGCTCTCCTTCCAATCCTATGGGTGTCAACTCCGGCGAGGGGGCCTTCCACGATTCCTGGTTAGAGGACACCATAAATCGAATTTGCGGCCGCCCTTTTGCGGCACGGTACACTGTTTCCTACTGCCTCCTCGCCGACAACGATGGTAGCACCTTTTTTTGCGATCGGGTCTTGTACCCGTTTTTCATTAAGAGGAAAGACCAAAAGAAAGACCAGAACACGGATACAAATAACTCACAAGTAATCTTAGGATTATCAACGAATCCCAAAAACACAAACAAACAACAAGAATACATAGGGGTTGGGGGGACCTCCACCTCCAAAACACCAACCGACTATGCCTGCAAAAGAGAAAGACATCATGTGCAATGGTCGCAACCGGGGGGTTAAGTCGTGGTGGCAAAGCATCCACCGATAGATCTGCAAGCAACCAGGTAACAGGGGCGAAGCCCGAATAAATGGTCACCGGGGTCAGAGTCGGTACTCAACTACTCATATAAGTAGCATATATGTTGCAATAATATAATACACTAATCGATTGCCCGGGCTTCAATAATTTATCGCATCTTTTCGTAGCCGTTATGAAAACTATTACCCTTGTTGCCTACATGGTCTCTAAGCCTATCAGATATTCCAGCCATCGACTACAAATGCATCATTCCCACCTTGTCCCTTATTGCAATCTCTGAACAAGTAACAATATAAACAAAAACACCTATCCACGTTTTCACTATACTCTAGGCAATCATATTTAGTAAACTATTCATGTTGAAGTATCTTCATCATTATTCTCATTATCACCTGTTGCGGGTAATTTTCTTTTAAAGAATCTTTCCAACGTGCTTTGATTACCTATGAAATTAGTCACATAATAAAAATTAAAGCAGATAGATACTAAATTACTAATGTGCAAGTAGCCTACTATTAAAAGTCACTAGTGATTATTGAAATGCAACTATGCAAGCTATACTAAAGTAGATAGGTACATGACATTTCGTCGGAACGAAAGAACACGTTCTTTGGTGGAAAGCCTTAAGACCTCATATTTCGGATTAGATTGTTTTAATTAGCAATTGCAGAATAGGGTATTTGGGGTACCGGACAAAGTGCATGTAAGATGGGCGGAGAGTTTATCGCACGCCACCACCAAAGAAGTTGTCACCGTGATTTGCGCCAATCGCCTTTGAGACGCGAGAGAGAACTAACGAAGCGGGCATTGGCGCCAAGCACCGCGCGCTCTTTGCCAAATGCTAGAACAATGGAGATCAGAAGATGAAACGACGACTACTCAGTCCAGAGCTCCAGGCTATAGCGGAGGCTGGAGGCAAACGTTTGGCCTTCTGGACTGATTGCAATTTACTTTCACGTAATGTAATCACGTTCTAGGTCTAGGAAGCAGAAGATGGGCCGAACTGCTAGGCTGCCAACTCGTTGGGGTCCAACATATTTTCTACTGGGGTTCAACGTGGTGAAAAATCATTGGCTATAACAAGCTATGGCAAAGTCATCGGTGTCGGCTAACCCCGATGCCTTCACGTAGCTTCGCCCCTGCCAGGTAGCCGTTGCGAAGAAGAAGAAGACCGAATCCGCTAACGACCAGGTAGCCGCTGCGAAGTAGAAAACGACAGTATTCGCCAGCGACCAGGTAGCCGCTGAGAAGAAGACGACATATCCGCCAACGACCAGGTAGCCGCTACGAAGAAATAGACGACTGCGGCAACACCAACACCCGAGGTGGACAGACCAAAACGAAGAGTAAGTTGAAGCACAGGCAGACACATTAAGTGCCTCTCGATGGATAGTGGCCGACAACGAAGCCTCCAATAAAGGAATGACGTCCATAGACACCAACAACGTTGAAGAGAGCACAAGAAAGACTTTCGTCCCAGAACGGCCTGTAAGGAAAATGGATCCTTGACCCATTTACTTTGGATTTTGGTGTTTGATGACCAACACAACCAAATTGGACTAATGAATTTGCAAGTGTTTGTTTTGTAGTCCAATAGGGTGCAAGACGTGACTTGGACGAAGGCGACGTGATGATCCGATGATCAACACCTCAAGCAAGACCTTAGAAGCACAAGAAAAGACCCAAGATGTCAAGCAAAGTCCAAGCATGAAGATAGGAACCAAGCCGTGCGCAAGATCGCAAAGAAACGAAGCTCATAGAGGCGACCGGACGCCGGACCGGACGCCGGAAGCGTGACCGACGCCGGACCGGTGGTTTCAGCGAGAGAGCGACCGACGCAAGGACCGGACGCTGGCGGCAACCGACCGGACGCAGGAACGCAGCGTCCGATCGAGTATAGAGAGGTTCCAGGCGCGCGAAACTGCGACCGGACGCGTCCGGTGGCAGGCGACCGGACGCTGGCAGCGTCCGATCGGTAGTTCGCGGCTTCTAACGGTCGGGGACGACCGGACGCGTCCGGCCAGATTTATTCGGCGTCCGGCCAAGAGTGCAATTGCGGGAGTTCGACCCCAACGGCTACTTTCTCGATGGGGCTTATAAATACAACCCCAAACCGCCATTTGTGTGGAGTGGAGCCGAGAAACATATCAAGAGTGTTGATACACCATTTGAGTGATCTCCACATGCATAGTGCTTAGTGTTTTATTAGGTGATTAGCATAAGTGCTTTGCGAAGTGTTTAGGTTGATTAGACCATCGCTATGCGCTTGCTCTAGGTGTTTGCCTAGTGTTTAAGTGAGGTTTGCATACCTCTTGCCACCCGTGCTTGTGAGCACAAGTGTTGTACATCGGAGGGGCTTGAAGTCTTGCGAGATCACACCAACCGCGTTTGTGGTGTGGCCGCCACCGTGTACCAGAGGGAACAAGGCCCGTGGCGTTTTGGCCGAAAGCTTGATAGTGAAGACGGCGGGGAGCATCCGGGAGAGGCTTGCCGGAAGGCACATCGGAGACCCACTTGCGCGTGGGGAAGGCCCGAGGCTATCCACGGAGTTACCCGACCGAGCTTGGCCCTTTCGAGGGATTCTTGCGAGGGGCTCCAACGAGGACTAGGGGAAGCTTACTGGCGCTACTCGATACCTCGGTAAAAATACCGAGTCGCCGACGGGAGTTTGCATATCTCTACCTTGCTCTTTAAGCTTCCGCATTTACATTGATCATATTATTATCATTTGCGGTAGAGATAGCAACACACTAGCAAAACCGTAGTTGCACATCTAGATAGATTATCTTTTGCATAGGTTTTGCTAGAAGTAGAAAAAGAGGCCATAGTTTAGAGTTAGTTTTGTTTGCCTAATTCACCCCCCCCTCTTAGGCGTCCACGTGTCCTTCAATTGGTATCGAGCCGGTTGGCTCATATTTGGACCTTTGGCTTAACCGCTGTTGAGCCGACGCTTGTAGAGTGGTTGGGATGGATACCGCTAGGCCTCCACAATTTGACGGCTCTAACTTCCCATACTATAAAGCTAGAATGGCTTGCCACCTTGAGGCGCGTTGATTTGGGTGTATGGAGAGTCACTCGTGACGGGATGAAACCCATCAAGAATCCCGAAAACCCACAAAGAGTGATGAAAAAGAAATGCATTTTAATGCTAGAGCTAAGAATTGCTTGTTTGAATCTTTTAGCATGGATGTGTTTAACCAAGTGTTCACCTTAAATACGGCACATGAAATTTGGTTAAAACTTCAGAGCTCCATGACGGTACAAGTAATGTCCGTGAGCAAAAACATTGTCTAGCTAAGCAAAATTATGATTCCTTTGCTATGAATGATGATGAGCTTGTTCGTGATATGTATTCTCGATTGAATCTAATTATCAATGAGCTCCATTCAATAGGATTATTAAAGCTAGATGATGCGGACATCGTGAGGAAGATCATCTCCGTTCTACCACAAAAGAAATATGCAAGCATCATCACCATCCTTCACAACATGGAGAACTTGAGCACCATGACCCCGGGCATTGTCATTGGCAAGCTAGTG